ATATATTTATAGTTTCGTCCACTAAATAAACTATAAATATGTTTATTGCTGTCTTATACTTTTAAAGAAAATGCCTTTCATTTCATGAAGAATATAAAATGGAATAAAATCACTTTCTATTCAGTTTTAGTCAGTTGCTCTATTTAAACTCAAATATTTAGTGGGCGTTAAAGTACGTATTTGACTAAATTGAAAAGTCTTTTCTAACTGCCTGAAGCCACAATCCCATATTGTCTAGTGGTTAGGATATCCGGCTCTCACCCGGAAGGCCCGGGTTCAATTCCCGGTATGGGAAAAATATATAAAGTATAAGTACATTTTTTTTACATTTATTTTGACATTAATTGCGTTGCACTCTTAATTTATTGTTAATTTTTATATAACGTTCCCTTTGATTAATGCGCCATTAATCAGCTTTTTATTTTTTTTTTTTTTTTTGAAAAGCTGAAAATCTGTAAACAGCTTCCACTTAATTTTTGACCTCGTAATGGAGCCAATTTAATTGAAGTAGGTTTCTTATGAATATCAAAGCTGAAAATTTGATCCGGCTCAATGAACTCTGCACACGGATGGAGCCCAACTGGCTGCAACTCAATTTTCAGCTGGAAAAACAGCCATAAAACGACTAATTCATCAAAAGTGTGGCAAGCAGCGGGCTATTGTTGTAGACGTTGCTGTTGTTGTTGTTGTTGTTGCTATTACTGCTGCTGCCGCTATGTGTTGGTCCGCCTACTTTTTGTTGCCTGCCACTTTCTTAGCAATTGAAACTTTGTTGTGTTTTGAGCTTTGGCTTTTTTATTTAGTTTTTTATTATTATTTTTTTTTTTTTTCGTATGCCATCATCAGCTCTGCTCAGACATTAGAAGCGCGTGTGAGGCGATATGCGATTGAGCAAGCGGTAGAAGAAGAGGCAGCAAAGACAGCAGCAGCAGCAGCAGAAAAAAGGCACAGCATAAAAAATTAACATTTTTATATATTTTTTTTCTGTTTTGTAGCCAGCAGCTAGCTCAAAGAAAGCCAAGCCCCGAGAATCAAGACAAGAGTAACAAATAAAATAACAAAAAGTAAAAAAAAGAGAGACTGTTTTTTTCTTCTTTTGCTCTTCTGTTAAACGTCAAACGTTACGCCAACGCTAAGACACACGAAGCTTCGTTTGTTTTTAATGTTAAACCAGTTGAGCTGAGCTTCAGCCAGAACAAAAGAGCAACAAAAGCAAAGCAAAGCAAAGCAGCTGCTGTTGCTGTTGCTGCTGCCATCGCCCTCGCTCTGCCTAGCTACAGCTGCAAAGCTACGCTAGCTGCATATTAAAGCTTTTTGCCTGTCGTCAATCGAATGTTTATTTAATGCTGTCTAAAGTTTTGTTTGTTTTGCTTTTGCTCTGTGCTTCGTCTGCTGTCCTTAAGATGATGTAGACTCTGCTCTAATCCGTTTGAAGTGGCGGCAGCTCGTTTCATTCCGTTTGCCAGTTGTTTATGTAGCGTTGGACTCCAATCATTTTCATATATTATGCACTAAGCGCTTAATTTCGAAGAACAACATTTAAGTGCTTAATTTCCCGTAGGGGACTCAATCCTTTTTATGTCTCATGATCAATGTGCTTAATTTCGAAAAGTACCATTTATACGTTCCATTTCTAGCAGAGGACTCCATTCATTTTTATGTCTCATGATCAATGTGCTTAATTTCGAAAAAGTACCATTTATACGTTCCATTTCTAGCAGAGGACTCCAWTCATTTTYATGTCTCATGATCAATGTGCTTAATTTCGAAAAAGTACCATTTATACGTTCCATTTCTAGCAGAGGACTCCAATCATTTTCATGTCTCATGAACAATGCGCTTAATTACGAACAGTGCTCTACTTATACAGCATGCAGTAATCGCCGGACTCGAATTATTTTCAGATATCTCAAATCAAGCGCTTAATACCGAACAGTGGCAAAGTGTAGCAAGCAGCAGCAGCAGCAGCAGCGTTTCATTGCCATTGCTCGAAAGCCGGACTCCAATCATTTTCATGTATCATGAGCGCGGCGCTTAA